TAAAGTTAAATTAAAATTAAATTAGTGTTAAGTTAGAGTTTAGTTAGGGTTAGGTTAGGGTTTAGTTAGAGTTAGGTTAGAGTTAGGATTTGGGGTTAGATTAAAATTGTAAGAGAAATATTTTTACTTAATTAGATTATCTTAGTAAATTTTGAGTTATTGAATATAGCTATAGAAAATAAAATGATTTTTTAAAAATTGTAATTGCTTAGATTTAATAATATTCTTAATTATGCATTCTGATTGGTTAACTAGGGTTTTGGGGTTTCAGATTTTTTTTTAAAAATCCGAAACTAGTTTCGGGTAGCTTTTGTTTCGAGTCCAACTCTAGTTGGCACAATAACCTCAACTGTCCACAATGCGTTAGGAGAGGTGGAAAACCACGGCAGTCCTCAGTCTATTGAGAATCAACAGGAAAACCATCTTCTAAGCAGTCACGTGAGCAAGTCAATTAACGATCGAAGTTCTTTCACTATAACATAGATTTCCTGAAGATCAATTTCCGATCTGATTCCGGAGCCAAATATTCACCAATCAGAATCAATTAAATTGAAAATCCTTTTGAAAATTTTAAACTTCTAGTAAAGATTTCTCAGTAACCATTTAATCAAATTTAGTAAAGCTTTTTTTATTTTGATTCTTTAGTGGTTATCAAGGAACCTTCAATAGATGTTTTGAAAAGGCTTGAAATATCTTGAAAAGAAAAATCAAATTGGCAAATTTTTCTTTTTGAAATTTTAAACGATGATTTCTCAACACCCATATATCCAAATTCAATGAGCAATTTTTATTTTGATTTTGTAAGTGCATAGGATTAAAATAAAAAAATTTTGATCGAATTTGAATAGACAGATGTTGAGAAATATTGATTATTAAAGCAAAAAAAAATTTGGCCGCAGCTTTTTTCTACAGATATCTAAAATTTGAACGAAGATAACTCGGCAGTTACCTAGTCAAATTCGATCAAACCTTTTTTTTTAATTATATGAGATTATAGAATCAAATAAAAAAATTTAATCGAATATGATCAGATAAGTGTCAAGTAATCTTCGTTCAAATTTTAGATATTCGTAAAAAAAAGCTACGGCCAAATTTTTTTCCTTGATATTTCTCAACACTTGTTTATTCAATTTCAGTAAATCTTTTTATTTTAATACTACATACTTGCAGAATCAAAATAAAAAATTCATTGTATTTAAATATATGGGTGTTGAGAAAACATAATTTAAAGTTTTGTAAAAAAGTTTGAGAAAAAGAAAGTTGCAATAAAATTATTTATTTAAACTTTAATTAATAATTGCTCAAAAACCATATATCCAATTTCAATGAATTTTTTTTAGTTTTGATTCTGCAAGTTTGCAAGATTAAAGTAAAAAAATTAACAGAAATTGAATAGACAGATGTTGAGAAATATCAATTAAAAGTTAAAAAAAATTTGGCCGCGGCTTTTTTTTACGGATATCTAAAATTTGAACGAAGATACTCAGCACTTACCTGATCATATTCGATTAAATTTTTTTATTTTAATTCTATAATCTCATAGAATTAAAATAAAAAAAGTTGATCGGATTTGATTAGATAAGTGCCGAGTTATCTTCGTTCAAAGTTTAGATATCCGTAATAAAAAAGCTGCAGCCAAACTTTTTTTTTGCTTTTAATCAACATTTCTCAACATCTATATATTCAAATTCGGTAAAACGTTCTTATTTTAATCCTTCATACTTGCAGAATCAAAATAAAAAAATTTTCATGAAATTTAGATAGATGGGTGTTGAGAAATCATCGGTTAAAATTTCAAAAAGAATAAATTTACCAATTTTAGATTTTTTTTTCAAGATATTTCAAGCTTTTTCTAAACTTCTAGCGAAGGTTTCTCGACAACCACTAAACCAAATTCAATGAACTTTTTTTATTTTGATTTTACAAGTATATAGAATCGAAATAAAGCATTTTACTAAATTTGATCGAATAGTTACTGAGAAATCGTCATGTTTTGGCTCCAGAATTAGATCGGAAAGGATCTACAGTGACCTTTAGCCTAGAATTTTCTTGACATAAGGAAACCAGTCTATGACAGGTATCAGCCTTTTGTCATACATTGTAATGCTATATTATTAGAAATGAACATCGCATACATACGTAGTACGTACTGTAATACTCTACTCTCCGGAAATTGTAAAATGAGTGTAAAGATTCTAGACCAACTTTCTCAGGATTTTACACAGCTTCTTGAAAATGCGTATGATTATAATGTAGTGATTAAAGTTGGTGCACAACAAAATACCAAACTTTTCAAAGCACATTCAGCAATCTTGTATCAACGTTCGTTGTACTTTCGTCAAAAATTAACAAATGTGACTAAAAAAAACAATGTTATTGAGCTTAAAATACCATATAATTCTGTCGAAATATTTGATATTATTATTAGGTAAATTCTTAGACCAAAGCTATATTGGCTTAGTTTTCTGCAAGATAATAATAATTTTATTGTTATTCGTAGATATATCTATAGTGGCGTAGTTCCTTTAGAAAATTTTGAAGCATCAACCATATTTGACCTATTAATTGCTCTAAATGAATTTAAGCTTACAGAATTAATCGAACACATACAGTCTTATCTTATTGACAATAACGCATCTTGGCTTCGTCTAAAGTTTTCTCGAATTTATCAAATATGTTTCGATAATGAAAACTTCAAAGCTTTACAACAATTTTGCAATGATATACTTGCAAAACATCCAAGTATGATTTTTAACTCGAACGATTTTAACACACTTCAAGAAAATGCTTTGATTGCTCTTTTAAAACGAGATGATTTGAAGATGGAAGAATCAGAAATTTGGGATAAAATTATTTTGTGGGGGAAAGCAAGAATTCCAGACCTACCACCTAACATCGAGAAATGGACTGCTACTTCTCTAATTTTACCTCCTCGTAAAAAAGTAATGATACAACTTCCTTCTCGAAAAGCATCTATTATTACATCATCTTCTTCCATAATCACATTAGAACATGTAGCAGAGATTTCATCATGGATCGATCGATGTTCAACAATTTATGATGCCATGGAAATTCCATATAAATTTAAACTTTTACTTAGAGGTAGTAGGGATGGGTTTACAGCTGAAGTATATCATTGGCTATGTGATAATATACCTGGTACTGTGGTAGTTGTAAAAGTTAATGGCACGGATGAAATACTTGGTGGTTATAATCCTCTTATCTGGAAAGTTTCTAATCATAAAAGAGGATTTGAATATGCAACAACAGCCGATAGCTTTATTTTCTCTTTAAAAAATGGAAGCGTATATCAATCTATTCTTAGTCGTGTAAAAAATAAATTAGCAGCAATTTGTTATGGTAAAATATCACAAGGTCTATTTTTTGGCGGAGACCTTGGAATGAGCAGCACTACTCTAAAAAAATGGAATTGCAGAAATAAATTTTATGAAAAACGAATTAATAACATAAATGATGTTGGGGTTTTTGTAGATGAATATGAAGTATTTCAAATTGGTAGAATTAATGCATTCGATTAATAAACCTATTTTTTTTTATTTTTTGTCAGTACAATATATAGTTATTACTGTATTAATTTATTGTATATAAAATATTTTATTACATATAAAAAATAATCTGCAAATTATTAAATAAGTTCGACTGCTGAAACATATTTGTCTAGTTACAAATATAACATTGATGGTATTTAGTTGATTTAACGAAAGAATTAAAAAAACTAATAAAATTAACAGCTAATTATACTGTACACAAACTAAATTCTAAATAGAAATTTATTTAAGGTTGCAATTTTAATTTATCAACACTCAAAAATATTCTGATTTGGAAGTGTTAAATAAACGTAGATATTGAAACGTGTGTAAAGTAACTTTGCCTTTGAGAAATCTAAAGCAGTTAGTAGATGATAATTTAATATATTATGTGATTTCACACTGCCCGTAAGCACTATCAATAGATTTTTCTACTTTGCTTTGTTAAAAAAAGAAGTATTAATTAATCAAAACACTATATCAAAATTGTATAATGTAAATTTAATGTAAAGAATAATAAAATAGAATAATTATTGTAGTATATGTAATAGCTAAGAAAATAATGGACATTTTTAAAAGACATTAAGTATGATATTCTTCAGTCGCCTTCTTCGATTAGTATTAGTACCAGGCATTGGAATAAATTTATCAATGATTTTTTAATTTTATAAATTATAAAGTCCAACAATTATGAAGATAGAAATAAGTCAATTAGCAATAATGATGTAGTATCTTATCATATGATTATTAAATTATAAACTGCATACAGTCGGACCTCTCTAAGTGCACCCTCTATAAGTGCTCTCTAAATGCACGCTCAAGTGCTGGCCCAAATATATACTTAACCTCTATAAATGCACCTTTTCTTATTATTTTCTATATGCACGTTATTAAAGTGTGGTCCAAGTAGAGATTGGAATCGTTTAACCGTTTAAAAATTGCTCCATAGTTCCGGGCAGAATTATGTTGGTCTTGGGCCAGAATTATTTTAATGCCGGCCAAATTAAACGATTAAGAAAAATTTTAGGCGATTCCTATCTATAGTCCCAAGGGCGTTCAATTAGAGAGGTCTGACTGTACAATGAAACCTCTTTAAGTGCATGCACTCGGGACCAGAATTTAACGACGTGCACTTAGAGAACAATAAGAAAAAGTGCATGTATACACTTGAGCCAGAATCTGTGTGTGCATTTAGAGAGGGTGTGCACTTATAGAGGGTGCACTTATAGAGGTTTCACAGTATTAAAATTTTTTTCTATGTAAATTAGTTAATCGTTTATGAAGTTATATGTTCTTAAATTGCCTAAAGTTAACCAATAAAATTTTGGCTCCAGATATCTACAGTAACAATACTTATCATCCATAAGTCACATTGTGCACGTTTACATTTTCTTGATAACGTGCACTTACAGTGTCAATTCATGAAAACTCTATAAATACATGAAATGCTCCTCAGTAATTATTTATCTTGTTACTTTCTGTTGTATTTCTCGATGGTTTGGTGCCATTTATAAGTGCACTTTCTGCTCCTGAACCTGTTAACAACTGTCCTGAGCCACCGCCACCTTGCAATTGTAGATTTTACTTTATTAAATTATTTTAAATGAACTACAATTTATTGTAGTCTATTTACAGATTTGGGGTGTGTGCCTTTACTATGACCGCTCAGACGTCACATGCAAATGTTGCGATGACAAGTTTCCTTAGTTAATAATATATGCATTCCTTATTCAAATTTCTTTCTTTTTTTATTCTGCTTTTATTCATGTCGATTGACAAATTGAATTTTTCATTTTTTTTATTTTTCTGTCGTGTTGAATTTTTCTCTGCCATTTGGCAAAACGATTTAAATTTATTATTTTCCTTGCTGTTTAACGCTGGCAATTTAAATTTCAAAGTACAGTGAAACCTCTATAAGTGCACAATCACTCTAAATGCACACACAGATTCTGGCTCAATATACATGACCTCCATAAATGAACTTTTTTTTATTGTTCTCTAAGTGCACATCGTTAAATTCTAGTCCCGAGTGTGTGTACTTAGAGAGGTTTCACTGTAGTCTGTAGATTTTATTAAATTATAAAAAAACTAGAATTTGTACATGTGATGACTTCATCACCAGAGTTTGATGTTTTCGTAAGTGATGAAATTCAAACATTTATCATCTGTACAAAGCCATTAGCTTAGATTTATTGTCTGGTTATAATTTTCTTGTACTGTACTATAATTTATCATATTAGATAATTATTCGGTAACTTTGTTCAATTATTATATTATCATCTTTGTAATAAAGGGGGCTAGGGTGTAAAATATACAAGTTTCACTATGTTATATAAAGTACTAGCTCTACAAAATTTAACCAGTATTGCCGCATCACTTGATTTGTCTGCATTATAACGAAAAATTTATCACAGAAGCTATATATTTACGTGTTCAAAATTATTTGTTACTGTTTTAGTTTACTCAACTTAATTTATCAACAATTAATTTACAGACAAAATTAGGATGCTTATATTCATTAGAAATATTTTAAGGAGTGGGGCAGGGCTAAACCTTATCTTAGTTTAATTCGATTGGCCAAATATATGTTACGCATATACGAATTACCTGAAATGAAAAGAGTAAGCCTTTATAGTTTTGTAGTAAATAAATATTAGATAACAAATATCACAGCCCTTATTTTATAAACTATTAATTTACTAACAAGTTTGGTTTACCAATAGTTTATTTTGTCAATAGCTAATTTCACAGACATTTAGATATTGTTATTAGTCTAACCCACTCCATACCGGCGTATTTTTTGTTATGACATCATCCCAGATATCATTAATAGGTACACTACCATAATTTTGCATATACGGTGTTTCTAAATTGTATTAGTGTATTTATGCTTGACTTATCAATTTAATGTATAATGGTATATCTATGGAAGGTAATATTGTTAGAAGACCATAATACGCTGTGAGGACCGAAGTCGGTCGGTCAATGCTTCGCAGCAATCGGGTCCTCGACCGACAGACTCGTGATGACAAAACGCGAAAGAGACGTGTTAGATTTGGACGAGTGGTTAATAAACGAATGTATGTAGTTGGTAGGGCATGTTTATGTGATTTAGATGCTTTATTATTTAGGTCAAACAGGAACTAACTAACTCTTCGAAGGGCCAGAAGGCCTTTATTTATAATTAACTCACTATCTATTTTTACATACAGAATACGCCGTTTCCCCAGAATTATACTTATTACTGTAATTATTGTAATTATTGTAATTCTCCTTATTCCCGGTTTTCGCCTAATTCTGAAAATTCACCGAATTTCCCTAATTCTCGTAATTCCGGGAATTCCTGGAATTCCGCCGGTAAACTCCAATTTGGAATGCCCGAGTCATGAGGCCACGTGCCTGCGGTCAGGTCACGTTTCCGGTCTCACAACGCTATTCATTGTTTAATATTAATATTAAATTAATGATGTCTAACGAAACCACGTGCCATTACTTGTAAAAAATTAAAATAGATTGTTGATTTTTATATATTGTACCATGCGACAATTAGCATCACATGGTTTCGTCGGGCATAACTAGTTTAAATATACTAAAAAAATTCGAATTTTTAGTATAAATTTTGTTTGGTTATATATTCAAGTTCTTCGTATTGTATGGTAAAAAGAACTGCGCATATTTAAGTACGAAAAGAATTTAGGAACGTAAATTCTCTATTTTGAGAAGCAATTTGTGCAGCACATCAGGCAAAGAACATGAAGGTCTATGTATTTTCATGGTTTACATGGTGAATGCAAAATCTTAATACAGTACATTGTTAAAATATGCATGTATATTTGAGTATATGTATTTGTATAATATTATTCCTCTAGAAACCCTCTTATATAATTACAATTCTATATAACTACCTTAAATTTTAAAAAATTTATTAAAAAATACTTAAATATAAACACATAATAATAAATGCATAAAACAAATTGAGTGATTATGGAGAGAACGATTGTATATATTCTATTAGAATTAATTAGAAGTTTGTATCGAGCAATACAGCTAGATTAAGTGACGAAGTCACTTGTATAATGTTCTAATTATGATATATGATACGTATATAATATCTAATGTTACTGCGCTTTTCAAATTACTGTGATCAGATTTGCATTTATTCTAGATTTCTGATTCCCGGTGTGATGTATGAAAAAGAAATATGGTATAGGTGAGCAGATCAGTATAGTACAGGCCAATTTTTAAAAATATACTATACGAATCTGCAAAATTATAGAAACTAACGCTCATATATATAATAGCTGGACCGGCCTATACTATATTAATCTGCTCACCTATACTATACTGATCTGCAAAATACTTTATGAAAGTCACTGATCACAGTAATTTGAAAAGCGCAGTAAACCTTTCCCCACTTGACGATTTAAAAATATGAAATTATTAAATAAATATACATCAGGAATTTTAAAATCAATAATCAACTCGTTATCTAATTTAAAAGAATAAACATCGTATTTTTAATAAAATTACAAGTTATATGCAAATTGTGGGCTTTATAAAATTTGGAAATGCTTACCAGATTGGTAAGCCACAGTGACTCGATGGTAATAAAGTAATTAAGAAAGATAATATTAGTTGTTAATAGAGATGGGTTTCATGCGTGCGCATTTTATCCCATCTAAATTTTATATAGGAAAATTAAAGTATACTTAATTTAGGCCAAGGTGTATAATGCCAGGCAAAATTAAGAAATAGGAATGCAGAAGTTTTGAAAAATTACGAAAAGAAAATGAATGAACATAAAGATGAGAAGGGTCGGGAAAAAATTTTGGCAAATATCCGATATTTTCCTGAGGGAAAATATAAAATCAAAAAAAATTATATCATGCGATATCATGCGCGCGCATTTTATATAACGTGCGCATTAATGCGCATGTTATTATAAAATGCGCATTTTTTCCATCTCTAGTCACAGCCCTAATGATGTATTCTTGATACGCGTTTATAAACTAAGATGGGAAAGTTCGCATAGGCCTGATTAAAAAATTTTATCTGGATCTTTATGGTATTTTAATGTGACAGTAAATATTTATAATAATAATGCAGTATTATGAAAGCAATACCTCTAGGTAAACAAAACTGATGTATAAAGATTATGATGGTTGTAAATTTGATGAAAATAGGCACACCGATTTCATAACATTAAATGCCTTTTAGGACAGACATTCAAAAATCAGTCAATTTCGTACAAAAAAAGAATAAGAAAATAAGGTTGAAATAGAATAAGTTACTTTCAATAACTTGGAATAATTAATGACAATGAAAATTCATCGTTTAAAACCAAATTCTTAGCACATGCAAAATGCATAACTCCTGAATCAGTTACATTTATAAGTCAGTCAAGTTCATTTTAACCAACGGCAATTTTATAAAAAAAAAAAAAAATCCTAAACCCAACAAAAGCTTATGTAATATATCGATCAATTATTACTTCGATTTGTGAATTAATAAAATTAAAGATTTGAACTTTATAAATATAAAACTGATTATTTAAATATAATTATAAATAAATAAAATAACAAGGTAGTCACTTTTACCTTTTGTCATTCATTTTTATCCAATTGGCCAATGCTAATGGTTTCATTAATATAAGTTCAAACATATTTTTAAATCGGCATATAACTTTCATTACGTGTTCTGGATAAATTCAAAAACTCCCGATATCGAAAACCAGAAGATTTCACTGGTAAAATGGAGGTGTTAATTGTACAACATCAAGATTATTGAGACTTCGTTAATGCTGTTATAAATAGAAAAATAATATTAAATTCATATTGTAAAAACTTTTCATTAAAAATTTATTTAATATATTTACGTTGCAAGTCTGTGAAGACAGTCTTCCCTTCAATTCCAGGACAGTTTTACAAATTTTAATCTGCCAAAGTAGATTCCGAAGAATTTCAGGTATCGATATTTATTTCCAACAAGGAATCACACACTTTGTAATTGCCTAATTTCAATTAATTTTGTAATAATCAATCTTTGAATAATGAAATTGGATTAGAGTTCTCTAAAATTTTGCTTATTATAAATTATACCTAAAACTAATCTCTAACCAGTGTTCTCAAGAGAACATACATTTAAATTTGAGAACATTTGATATTGAGTAAATGTGCTCTATAAAAAAATTTTAGAACATAATACTCGAAGTCTATATAAGTATAATACAAGTATAATAAAAGCATAATGCCAGATGGAAATAAAATTAGATTTGAGAGAAATTCCGAAATTATCTGAACAGAAAATGAATGAACATAGACGACGAGAAGGGTTGGGACAAAAATTAGAATAAATGCCCGATATTTTCCGAAATAAGAAACTCAAAAAATAGGGATATGAATAAATTTTACTGATGAGATGTTGAGTGCATAAATAAATTTCTGAGAACACTAAATTAAATAAATATGTTCTTATGAGAATGTAAATTTCAAACCAGATTTCCAACACTGACCCTAACCCTAAATCTAAAAAATGCATCTAAAAAAATTTTATTTTTCGGTGGCTTGTCTATTTTTTACATTGTACACAGTGTTGGGCTGGACATTGGACCACATTTGTCCGTCCAGTTGGATCAAAATGTATTGGACAATAATTTATAAATCAACATATAATTATTATTGGACTTATTGAAATGGACATACTGTATGTACAAGTCCAGTCAATAGCATAAAAATAGTTGAACATATGTCCAGTGCCAACGCAGATTGTACAATATTTCATTTTAATCCGTAAATCCAATACAATGATTTAAATGCTGCGAATTATTAAAAGAAGTAGAACATCCCACTTTCAAATTTTTTTTAAAAAAGTTGAAATTAGATTCGAGTTTTGCTAACACGAAATCTTAAATTTCGCTTAATATTATAGAAGAAGGTTCTTTATCATTTGAAAACTCTAGTCTTTTAGGATTGATTGGTATGGTTGGTAACTGTTAAAGGTGTATTTAGAGCCAATTTTCCAAAAAATAGTCATTTTAATTTACTTTTGGTCAACAACTAGGAAAGCGGGTTCTGAAGCGCCACTTCGTATTAATTTTCAAATTATACTAATTTACAAAACATATAACAATTATACTGTTTATTGTGCTTATCTGTTTGCATGATGAAAACAGAAAATGGTAGTTAAGCAAAAAGGATAGGTAAAATAATAGTGGCAGAAAATTCGTATCAGGTGACATTTTATTGTTCTGAATCTCATAATGCAGCCAAAAATATCTCTTTTACTTATTAGATTTCAATAGTTTAATTAATTGGTTCTTATTAATTAAATTTTCAAAGTAGCTTGCAACCAACTACAAGAAAATGCTTCTTTTTTTTCGTTGCCTGCACCTATATTCAACATACTGAAGTTTCTGCGGCTAACTTTCTAGTTATTATTACATGGCAAAGTTTTCTCTTATTTCTCCAGTATTTCTCTGATTAATTTATCTTGCCATTAATTGCGCTTGCATTCAATATGCATAATTTGCTTTTTTTCTGTTTTCATAATTCTCTTTTTTTTCCCGCTTATCAGTTTCAATAATCCTTTTATTTTAACTTTTGACCACAATTGTACGCAAGGCATCTTAATTGAAATTAGTATCTTTAAATATTCATTTTAATGAATCGAAAGAATCGTAAGTATTAATAAAAAAGTTAAATTTAGATACGACATAGTTAAATAATCTAACAATTTATTTTTTTCTTTATTTTATATATATTCCCTGGAACAATCACGGAACCCAAATTTTTTCACCTATTGTCTGGACTTAAGTTCCTCCGCTCTGCTCCGGAATTAAATATATCATTGCTTTCCA